AAAACGTAAAAAAAAAAGACGTTTTTATGTGCGTTTTGCGAAGAGGATGCTTGTGTCTTTCCTCTATTTTACTCACGATGGGCCGCAGCAGACGTTACAAGTCATCCCAACTAATCCAGCACTACGAACGTATGACTAGACTATATGTTCCGTTCATAAAAACTTGTTCATAATGAACCATATTGTTATTCGGCATGCCTTACTGTTTCATCGCGCCTACTATACATATACTTTCTCATGTAATGTACCTTGTTTTAAGTGCATTTGAGGAATAATAAACTCACGAAGGTCACCTGACACTCCCAAGACACTGGATCAGCTTCGAAGGCTCGTAGTTTCCTCTACGGTCCATGGTAAAATGAAACGGACTGTACAGCGCTTCGGGCAGTAGCCGAGATGCGCTGGGCTGTCGCTCGCTACTGGTAACTTTAACCGGCAGCATCGGTGGTGCATGGCACTGCATGCGTGTGCCAGTGGATGGGAGGAGATCGTCGGGTATTCTTTCCGTTTTCCCTCGTCCGGAAGACCGGGTCGCCTTCCGAGCGGCGTAATTGCTGTCGCCGAGGACCGGAAGCGCGGCCGAACCGGAAGGAAGGAAGGAAGGAAGAGAGAGGACAGTCGTTTCGGCCAGATTTGCGTTGCTCTCTTCTTCGCCGCGTTCGAGTTGGTGTAATGTCCCCCCGGGGGTGGCCGCGGCTAGGAATACATGCGCGATGAAATCGTTATGGGAACCGTGCCCCTTGGGTAAAAGACTGACAAGATCCTCTTTCTTGTGTTTGTGTTTTTCTGTTGCTCCTTATTTCTTTTTTTTTTTGTAAGTTGATATAGGACGTCATTGGGAGAAGTCGAGTAGAAAAGTGGTATGTAGATGTGGGGAGTCGTTCAGTTAGTACACACGCTAGCGGAGTTTCTGTGATGTGCGAAACTAGAAAGTTTGCCCCTACATTCTTCATTTCACCCCTTTTTTCTTCCGTCTTCCTCTCCCCTGCCTTGTCTATTCAACGGAACGTTTACAGTTCTACACGGTCGTGACTGTGAAGAGTGCACGCACGAAATACCCATCTTTTATGTGAATTTCAAGACGTCTTGTTATTGAAAATCTTAAAGGGGCATAAAACGATTTTTTCCAGTTCCGCTAATTTCTACTCAAAATCACTCCTTCACGTTAATACAAGAATAAAAGTTTCATAGGTTCTTTTTTCGTTCTAAGCAATGGCAGTCGGCAAATAAATTCGAGAAATATGAGCCTCGTTCATCACCTAAACTCGGAGTCAGAACAAGCGGCACCGTCGCCTGGTGCCTATCCTCTGGCGCCAGCGTTAATCCTAGCCACGTGCTGGGGTCGGCAAAGCAGAAAACGCTTCCTCAGCTCCAGGCATTCTTAGGGTTCAGCTATGTTTATTACCGCAGTGGTTGGACACGGGCCACTACCCGAGTGTCCACCTAGGCATTGAATGTCACGAGCCGAAGTCGAGTGCCTACGCAGTTCTCGAGTCCAATCCGTGAGCCCTGCTCGACTGTCGTAAGTCGGGTGGTTTCGATCCCACCATTACGTCATCAAGTTTTGCGGAGTCAAGACTGAAAGAAATAGTCCCCTTTTATCCTCGCGATTTCACCGCGACCAAGAGGCTTCTGAATCAGTGGTGATCCTCGCCAGCCTATGTGGGCCACGCTAGGACCAGCACGCCTTTGTTAAAGTCATGAAAGTTCCGACCCGGTATCTTTTCATGACCCCTTTAATAGAATAGGCAGACCAGCGCAAGGCAAAGGGCATGCGTAGAATTCGGATTGCGAGCTACAGATTTATTACTTTCATGAAGGCACTCACGAAAAATTAATGGTAGTGTGGTGTCTCCAATGCGCAATGTATCGTGATTCGCCTAACCACCGTATTATTTTTGATGAAGATGAAATAATAGTTAAGCCAAAAAAAAGTTTTTTTTTTTTTTTTTTTTTTTTTTATAACGGTTTTTAATCAAGACAAGTTCCGGGCACAAATGCTTGAATTACAGTGTGAAGTATCTCACCAGATTGTCAGGATGAGTTTTAAGCTTGTACTATATATGAGAGAAAGAAAGAAAATATACTCACAGAATCGACGTAATTGTTGTCTCGGTCATAATCTGCAAAAAAGGAGGAGAAAAAAGTTGACAGTTAACCGGCTGTTCGGTTGTTTTCACCGACGTCATCAGGATCGTTGATATCAACGATCCACGCGATGGCAAATAAGAAACTAGTATCGACATTTTAGTTTTGTTTCTCTCTTTTGTAGACCTATTTGATATTCTATGTCTAAGAAAAGTAGACGCATAAGGAAGTATGCGTTTTACATTACTGCCAGTTAGCATATTTTCAGCTTTCAAACCCCACCCGTGTGCTGTTTCATGAGTGAAAAGGTGCGAGTCTAGCACGAAAATCACGAGTCTCATCGCGATGTCACAACTGTGGCGACAATAAATTTTCGAATCGCGCAGCTTTGGTGATGTGGGATACAGATGCCTTTGAAGTTTTCATTTTTATGAGCTTTCGCGCACACATTATTGGTGAACAATAAAAAAAAAAGTCTATATATGATTAAACTATAGTTCGAAATCTAACGAATTTTATTAAGTAAGCCTAGTTATGGACCACTAAAAGTCAAAATACTAAAAATATGATTATCTCATTAATGACCCTAAATACTTCTTGAGGTATATCTTTTATTTTTTTGCGTCGGGGATATATGAAAGGGTCGATTGTCACACCAAAAAGGCACTTCCAAACACTATCAAGTCAAGGCTCGACATACTTTGCTGCAAATATGCCCCCCCCCCCCCCCCCCCCCGTACTAAGGCGAACGTATAAGTAAACTTTTCAAATGACATCAAAGCAGTGATTAAAACTAGGTGCTACGATTATTGCGGTTTCATTAGCGTTTCAGACAGCTGAGCCTCAGCTTTTGCTTATACCTTATTCTAAATATTGAACTTCGTTAACACGGTTACGCGAGAGGGCACTGCCTTACTAGACATTGTGGTATCCTCGCCGCAGAAGTAGGCGTATTATGAACCCGTGACTTTCAATATCACGCGAACGGCATACGGCCAAAGTGCGCGACCAAAACGGTCGCGCTGACTCTTCTATTATTAGCAAAGAGCTCTCACTATGATGCTTTTACTTGTATTCCGTGCATTTATTGATGGAAATAAATTTTATTGCAGAACGTAAAGTGTGACGGTCCAGTGTTGGAGGACACAATTTCAACAACATGGTGACTGGCTGAGCGTGCGACGAAGTGCTATCTAAGGGAGGAAGCTCGCACTGAAGGCGGAGTAATTACTGGTTTGTTAACCTGCTACTGACTGCAAACATAAAAGATCCCCCCCCCCCCCAATCCCCAAAAACAAACAAACAAGCAAACAATGTTTTTACACTGTTTCTTTCACCGCAAAAAAATATAACGAAAATCTATGCATCGCCAAACGCTCATTCTGCGCCCAAATGTAGCGATAGAGGTCCGAACGAGATGCCAAAGTCTCAACGCTGACCATTATCTTATTCAAAAATAGTTAAAGAGGTCGGGGATTTTACTGTTATTTCAGTGAGTGTATCTGCATGCTCAAACTTCTTTTTAAAGAGGGGAATCTCATCCCAGAGATTGTTTTCATGGTATGAAATGAATAAAAAAAAAAAAGGAGCCATCATATTATGCGGGTTGCAGGTCACAGAGCTGTACGAGGCGCAGCCTCCCCTTAAAAACAGCTGTCTCTACGAAAATGTTAATACATAAATCGCGACGTTGCATAAGCTGCACTTCTTGGTGCAGTCGGTGCAACGAGGTTGCAAACGCGGATCTGTAACACCACGCTTAATAGCGTCTTCGAACAACGGGAAGAGCAGGTTATCGGTGGATGTTCTGCCAATCCTAGTTCATCGTAAATGCCGATACGGTTTACATATCGCGCACTTATGGTCCATAATTATATATATACAATGAAAGCATACGTACGTCGCACCGTTTCATGACACGCACGGCAAGAAATTTTGAAACAAAAACCGGGTCTTCTGCAGCAACAAACACGCCCCCCCCCCCCCCCCTCCTTTGTTTTCGTTTTTGATCGCGGTATAGTAATCTGTTTTAACAAAAACCGAATGCGTTACATTAATTATTACGAAGTGATCTGGTAACGTACGCAGTGGTTACGCATTTTGTTTTTTAAAAGCATATATTTTTGAACCAATATATAAGGCCGTTCTTCCCGGGAATCAAGGTGTGTTTCAACAAAAGAAACCGCATTCGAGGTGGTTTCCTGTCCCATTATACTTTACCCGATAGATAGCAGTATTCGGTGATCAAGTATTCAAAGAAGCACCTTCGGCGCACTAAAACGCAGGGAGCCGGGGCACGGCAACAATGGGGAACATGGAGAAGGCGCAGTTAAATACGCGATGACGAGACAGGCAAGCGCGCGCTGGTATAGGTTGAGGTAGGGGGTAAACAAAAGCACTTGTGCGCATCTGGAGGGTAAACAAAAGCACGAGGGGCACAGAGAGCAGACGAACTTGCACGCCGTGTACACCAGCTCGTGCCTCTGTCGTCGCGCCGCTGTGCTGACGCTGCCGTCAGCGCGGCGCATGCAAAGGCACTTCGCTTGACACTAATCTAGTTTCTGCGCACGACACAGTGCCCGAACTTCGTGCGGGCAAACGTTTATTTGTTTGTAAACAGCGTGCTGTTCTATATGCGAGCCATAAGATTGCTTGTTGAATTTGTGGAATGGACCCTTTTACAAATTCAGCGCCATCTACCGGAACGGTTGCAAAGCTTGGCAGGTGGGTGTGGCGCGGCGTGCGTCCGCCATAAGCATGTATGGTCGCATCGGCGCTTGCTCAACGTGCGCTACACCACCGACACCACTGCGGCCACAGAAGGTCTTGCGCGGCTGATACTTCGCCACACGCTGCTTCTGCAAAGCCTTTTCATTGCTGTGTGCCGCTGTGTAAGCAAAATGTACTCAAGGATGCCTCTGGCTCGCGGTTGGGCGGTGCGCTCGCAGTTGCGCGGTGCACGCACGCGACCGCTGCGGCAATCGAAACGGAAGAGTTCCCGCCACATTAGTAGCATGGAATGATATAAGCCGTCTCGTGCTGCTTCTGAAGCGCTAGCGTGACGGAAGGGAGCATGCACCTGCACCCTTTTTGTGAACAGAAGCAATGTTGCTGGGCTTGGGGTATCGAGATAACGTTAACATTCGGGCGTTTCGTGTGACCTCTCGCGAATTTGTATACTTTTTTCTTTTAAGGTATCTTTGTTCGCCATCCCATCCGACCCCGCTCTCCGAAAAAAATGGGTTGTTGCAATAAAACGTGACGAAGGCAAGCACTTCTCCATTACGAAGTACACTAAGATTTGCTCAGGACATTTTCGAGAGGGTGACTACATTCCGAACGTCGCTAGTAAACGTCGCTACCTCAGACAGGAAGCAGTGCCGAGCATCTTCGCTTTCAACGTCGCGAAAAGGCCGCCCAGAAAGAAACCACGAGTACGACAGGCGCCGCCGTCAACGCCGAAGTTTTCCACCGCTGATGCCGGAGTGACGAACGACGCAATCGCCGATCCGAGCAGTCAAGATGCGGTGAGCGAACCCGCTAGTGAAGAGGCAAGCTACGCATTTGCCGATTTGACCGGTGGACACGCGGCACCTGAGGCGTCGAGCCAGAAGAATGCAAGCGGCGAAATTGTCACTGTCAACGCTATGGAAGACTTCGCCGCGGACTTCATGTGCCACGCAGTCGCAACTGAAGACAGCGTAGTGAACGATTGCAACATCGACGACTGCGTTAATGCTGCCACAGGCGCTGTCCTCGACCGGGCTGAAAGTCTGAAATGGGCGACAAACGTGTGGTCCACGAAACTGTTAGACTGCCAGCAGCAGCAGAGCTCGTACTCGCGATGCCGTACATGCTCATGGCGGCGTTGGCGGCGCCTCCCTCGTACAATGTGGCCAGCCGCACTTTTGAGCACCGTCAAGATGACGGTGATGATAGCTACTGAAGTGGCCAGACTGAATTTCGGAAAGGGTCTGGCTGAGCAAAATTTGTAGGCACATGGCTGAGCAAAATTTGTAAAGTTGCCCGACACGCGAACAAAAACCGCAAATTGAAAAAAAGATCCCCGCCAAGGTGTGCGCCCCGAACAAAAGTTCCCTTATTTCTCTGGGATGTTTACGTCAGCTCGGCTCCGCGCAAAAGCGTTACGTTGTTAACACGTGATGCGCATTCCGGGGAGCAAAAAGGATGGATTTCTCCCCAGTGCGAATACTCCTTAATACGGTCCATATATAAAGCACAATGTAGAGCAAAAGGTTGTCAAGAAATGAGCGCGGCGATGGAACGCGCATCCCGTTGTTTATTATTTTGGGTTTAGTCTCCGACAGAGCGAAAACTGCAGGGCGTACCTTCCTAACGCCCGTCCTTTAGCTCATGCGTGCCTTGCGCCGTACTTCGGCTGCGCGCTCGCACTCGAAAGGCACTCTAGACGTTGAGGCGTTGTCGAAGGTGGAAAGCTCGCAACAAAGCAAAACAACATTCTCACTTTGTCAGTGATTGTTGGGGTTTATAAGCAACCAAGATAGAACACGTAAATTTGACTTTGTTAGGTTTTCAACACATTCGCATCGGCTCTATAAGACGAGCTGTAATAACGAATTGTGCGAAATACCTCCGGCAGAAATGACAGATATAGCATCAAAACCACACAAAAGTTAAATAAAAAAAGTTTCTTGAGCTGTCTTAAAAAGAAAAAAAATCTGCCTTAGCTCTGGAATCTGAGATGCTTCTAAAGAATGTTCTGACGTTGTTCATCTCACGCTGTGGGTAGCGAGATATTCGGAAATGCTGAATCTATCCACCAGGAAGCGGGAAAAATTCTTTCCAAACGTCGGCATCTTTACGCCGTGTGCCGGACCAACAGTCGCGACGACGTTGGTAAGTTGAAAAGATAAATGAACACAAAGGAGAAAGGCTAAAAAGAGGCCGACTGCCAGAAACCGGAAAACGAATTACACGCCGAACTTTCCTTTCCAAAAGCGTCTCGACCGCCAGGAAAATAAATCCTCGCGCTTCCCGGCGTACCGCCTCTTCTTCGTTATACTGTATCTCAAGCGTGACTCATTTTCCTCGCATGAACATTCCCCGGCAGCTATGGGCTTTTCGCGCCGTGCGTTACTCGCCAGGAGCGCAGGAAGCCACCGGTTTTTCCGTCGGCTGAATCCCGATCGCTCGACAGGAGGAATTAGCATCGATTTTTCATCAGCCCCCGGGGAAAGAGGGTTTTAAGAGTTGGCGATTCGATCGCAGCCATCCATCTATCTATCCGGTTTGGGATGGCTAGTGCCTCAACTGTCGGGGACTCCTGCAGTAATCGGCTTGCTCGAAGCTCGAATGGCACGCTGGGTGAGCTCTCGTGTTCCCATCACTCAGCCTAGGAGGCTGTTAAGACCTGATGATGCATCTTCGGGGAAAGAGAGGCTCTTTCAAAAGGCCTTCGTTACTACGACTTCAGCCGCTGGTTGCGGCGCGTGGGGTTAGACTTTTGGGTTCGGCGACGAGCTGGCAAGTCTTGACTGCGCAGCGCTTTCAACATGAAATCATCGCGGTTCGCTTACATCACTTGTTCCTGGAACATATATTGGAGGAGAGGCGTTTGCGATTCTTTTTCGGGAAGTTATTGCTACTTTGCATCACTGTACCGGCGAGTACAGTTGCTTGCTTTGTGAACAGAAATACGCTTGGTTGTACCGGACTCCCACAAATAAAAATTTGCAGTGTTAACGAGATATAATTATAATGCGATTAAATGCAAGGGTGCAAGAGAGCTGGACAAGAATGACGAAAGTAATCCCTGGAGAAGGGGAACAAGAGGGACAAAGGACAAACATAAATCTTCAAATACAGCTAGGTGACTGGTGAGCGACCGAAAAAATCCGCCTGGTCCGGGTATCGAACCCGGGACCTCTCCATTACAAGTGGAGCGCTCTACCAACTGAGCAAACCAGGGGTTAGACGTCAGTAGAGCAAACGGGTTTTATCAGCTGCCACCAGTCGAACACCAACAAGGGTGAAGCTTGCAATTTAAGGTTAGGTTTATTTATGTTTTATGTTTATGTTTGTCATTTGTCCCTCTTGTTCCCCTTCTCCAGGGATTACTTTCGTCGTTAAAAAGATATTCGCAACGTCGGACGTTTAGTCTTCTCCCGCATCTGTACACGAACGCAAGCTGTACTGACTAAATGTAAAACGTTTCAAAGTTTGTCGTTTTCTCATTTAAAAGGTATCGACGAACCCACTGTTTAAAAACAAGCTGCGTTTGCCCCCACCAGCTGTGGGCACTGCGCACGCGCAGAAACCACATTCGCCCGACGCGAAGCATCTGCGCATGCGCAGTGGCGACAGCAGCGCCATAAGAGTGGCGTGACGCCAGAGAACCGAGTTGGTCTATAGAAGGTTTTCGGAAATTTTAAATGAGAAAATGAGACTTTTTCCCAGTGGCAGACGACAATCATTTCAGTGTATTCGTACACCATAGTCAGCCACCATTTGCTCAATAAAAATGACCGCAAATCGCCTAGAACTTCTAAATCAGGTAACGGCAAGCTGTAAAACTTTGGCACCTGGTCCAAACCGCTGGCACTACATTTAAATAAAGATTGAGCGAGGTGAGAAAAACAAATCATCGTAAAACTGTGTTAAGGACATTTATATATGGAGTCAGAAAAAGGTTAAGGTTACAGAAATCCGACGCTGTGCAAATGTAGTCATTGGGCTACATTGTATAGCCCTAAAGCGTAGCGCGTTCAGAAATTAGTCTACAAAAGCGCAATTGAGCTGCCAATGACCAAATCAAAAGACCATAATTTCTCTCCGCCCGGGAAAATCTTATGGGCTTGTATTGTAGATGTAGATTTGCTGGTTTCTGCCTCGAAGGGAGGCTGAATTCGCCTCTTAAAATTGCGTCACGTATCTAAGTTACTCGTTTCCACATTTTCAGCGCATATGAAAAGATATGCAGTGTTAGCAGGTGTAGTATAACAGTAAAAGAAACATTTAGGACTGCTTACGGGTAGGAATCCGAAAGCATCCCCACAAGCAGCGGGCTACATCATCACAGCGCACGGCGCTCCGGCGGTTACATCACACTCCCCTACTGCGCAGGCGCGGCGAACCCCGCCGGCTCCACGCTATCCGTGAGAATAAATCTGCATTGCTATGCTTTTCTCTGAGTTTTATTTCTGAACGCGCGTGCTTCGTGAGTCGCATTTAGGTACGGTTTCGCTCATCCAATGGGCATTTAGGTGCCGTTACACTCAGCCAATGGGACTAGGTGCCGTTTTTCATGGTTACATACAACTCCGGCTGCTCTCCATGAAACAGTTAATGATTAATAATGGTTAATAACGCCTGTGTACCCGGCGTCATTCAAAGAAAAAATAAAATAACTGAAGCACTAAGAGCATCATCGAGTTTAGGTTTATCAATGGTTACAGGTGCCTTCTAACGTGTTCCAACCGTGGGGCAGCGAGGCGGCACTTATCACACTTTACTGCAGAAAGCGTTTTTCTACAAAGCGTTTTTTCTTAATTTGAATTTATCCTTAAAAATTATATCGGGTGACACTTAATATTTCTATCTGTTACATTAAACCGAGTATTTAATTAAATTCTGCCACCTAACGTTTTCATTGTTGTTTTATGGATCATGTTGCAGTCATAGTTTTAGGGCAATTACTTTTAGATGCTAAAGTAAGTTAAGCAATTTTTGACACGCAACTTGTTTTAAGATATTTACTGAATCAGATTTTGCGTTTTTTAGCACACACTAATGCATAGGAGAGTGACGCAGTCGTTTCAAGAATCTCGTTAGCATATAAAACGACGCCGGTGTACACGGCGTCATTTTCCTCACACCGCATTAGGCCTCCTGTAGTAAGACTCAGAGGTAGTGGCGCTCACATGTTCTGCGCCCAAGACACCTAAAAGCGTATATATTTCCGCCGGCGCCACAAACAAACAAAATACCGGACATTTTTTGCGCCGCTACGCTTTCCCCTCATAACTCAGCGCGGAAGACCGTTCAGGGTCGATTCCACCCTCGCCACGCACAACACGTTCGAAGCTATTAAATTTGGGCAGTTAAGCGCACGTTTTTGTCCTAAGTGCGTGCTCAATTTGATGGAGTTTATGAGGCGTCGTTAGCGCCGCCGACAAAGCGTTCCGTTGCATCTAATTTGCTTCATTACGAAGAACGTCGCCGACCCCAGACCCTTTTCAGCCAGTCGATGTCTCTTGGGAGCTGAAGCGTGACTAGTCTGAAACAATTCGCAGAAGCACTTCTGAATGTTTGTGTGCGTCTGTGTTTGTGTATGAGGGGTTGAGAAGGAGGGGGGCGCTAACGAAGCCGTAAATGCCGACCGTTCGTCGCTTAAAGAATTCGTCCGAAGAACTTAGTTATGCGCGAATGAATTTCTGATCACCACCCCCCTTGTCTGTCTCTGTGTTCTAGTTGTCGTTCGAGAAGGACGAGTCTGAGCCGAGCCTTCTGCTATGTATGTAGGAAAGTTACGTTTCAGTAGGAAACACACTTACCCACGTAGAAGTCACGTCTCAAATTAATTTGAATGTGGGAGAGAAAAAATATTTATGGGCGAGGGGCCCGTTACAAAAGCTCGTAAGATATTTCTGCCCGCACATCGTTAGATGTGCGGGCAGAAATTGAGGAAAGAGGAAGAGACGAGAGCTCGCGGGGAAGTCGGACTGCAGAACTCTGGTTGGAAAGATTAGTGGTAGACTCAAAGCCAGCTGCCACTAAACTCATTGGACTCGTCGGAGACCACTAGCGCTGC